TCACCCCTCACACACACACACACACACACACACACACAAACTCAAACCCAACCACACACAAACCCTGATCCTGAATGCTGCTCAATGTAAAGAAAAGACCACAAATTCAATCCTTTGGCTTTTTTATCTTACTGTTTTCCCATTACTACAGGCGACTGCTATCCTCATTTTTTATTTTTTTAAACCCCTCCCAGTTTAAATACTTCTACAGTCTTTGTTTCAAAATTTATGTTTTTTATTTCAATAACAACACAAAGTCACGCTTGACACAGCTGTGAAGACACGAACAACATAGATACTTGAGGACACTCGAATCAGGGGTGGACGAAGTATACAACATAAATCAACTGAATATAATCCTCTACAGTTTAATGATAATATGTGTAAAATAGTATCATTAATCCTTCGGAAGTCTAACACATATTTTATCATTTTCAATGTTACTTTCTCACAAGAACTAGAGCTAGGCAACGAAGGCGGATTTCACGGTGAGGACCTACAAGTTTCCCCTTTTCCCAGATTTTTTCAGGATTTTGAACTTTATCAAAGGATGTTTTTTATATCATTGGAAAGGCTATAGCAATTATATCACCCACCCCGCACGGCAGTGGGAAAACATAGTAGACTCGCTCGAGCCAGGAGTAACCCCGGGAACACGCTTATTTATAAAAATAGCTTTGTTCTTTGTGTCAGCACCATGTATCATGAATACACGCATGAGAATTTGAGGCATTCACTGAAGAAAAAAATTTTCCGATATCTCTAGCGACAGGCGAGATATTGTCAAAGAAAGAGGATTGGTCTGTAGCGAGACCGAAACCCGCCGAATGGCACTGTGATTTTTCGACTCTCCATATTTAGAAGGTGCGGAATCCATCTAAATATCAACCAAACATCCCCAAACTCGGCAACCAATGAGAAGAAAGATGGATCTAGTCTCCATGGATTTCCTTGTCTTAATTGAGCTAAAATAGAGGCAACGTGGCCGGTCCTGATCAGATTCCGCATGAGGCCCTACATACCTATTCAATACTAGTGTGATGGCAGACCTCCTTTTCTCACTGTTTACCCGGATCTAGATTGAGAGCATATTTCTAAAGGATTGGAATAAGGAACACATGGTGAAGCTTCCAAAAAGGAGGATCTTCGCAACTACAGGAGAGGAATTACTCTCATCTCTCAATAGTAGTAGTAGATAAGGTCTTCAACAGAATCTTTCTGAAGAGAATCAACACCGTATTGGATTCAAGACTTTAAGATGAACAGGCTGGTTTTTTGAAAAATCCATCATCCACCCACCAGATTGCCACGCTGAGGATGATAGTTGAATTCTCTGTTGATTGTCAACTTCCTTGACTGAGAAAGCCTTTGACAGGATAGACTGAGCCACACTGTGTGGAAGATATTGGGACATCACAGAATCCCACAGAAGTTAATGAACCCCATTCAGAGCATGTTTAATGAAGGGACAAGTTGCAGCGTTGTACATGATGGCCCAGGATGGACAGTTAGACGATCTAAACTAAGCAGATGATTTGGCGCTTCTGTTGGACACCCAGGAATAGATGCAAACAAAGGACACAATAAGGAGAACATGATAGAGCCCAGTCAGAAATAATGTGGGAAGCAGGTGGCGGTGATGGATTGGGCATACTCTTTGGAAGCCAAGCAGCTGCATAACAAGAAGGTGTTGATTGGAATCCACAAGGTAAGAGATCAAGGGGAAGGCCACATGGAACCTGGAGAAGAGTCACAGAAAATAATATTCACAAAAGTGGGAAAACATGGAACAATATAAAGTGGATAGCCCTGGACAGGAAAAGGTGGAAAGTGTTTGTTTGTGGCCATTACTCTGATGCATGGTGAGAAAGACAATGATAACGATACGGTGGATGCGATTAATACAGCAATGGATTTTCTAGAGACCTGCATAGAGTTCAGGATTTCATTTTCTTCAAAGAGTAAAAACTCAGAGGGTATTACAAATTCAATTTGGGTAGTCCGGCTTCATTTTATTATTGCATTACTATCTGGAAGAAAATTAATCATTATGATTTCTTTAGACTCCCATAAATCAGGGTTTTTTTCGAAATCTGTGTTTTGTTCCAGTGTTGTTTTTGTGGAATCTGTTGTTTTCTAACATGTATAGCTTTTAACTTTTATTCATCTTTTTCTTTCAGTCCTGTAATATGTACTGACGGCCTGGAAACAGGAGAGAAACTGCACAAGACTTTTTTAAACACAAAGAAGCATCTTTGGGTTGACTAGTTAAATGCTTGTCCATCTCCAAGTGCCTTATTTCGAGGAACGGTTTTTCTGGTTACAAGTTTATGTAATGATTAGCACTGCTAAAAGATTGATGAGGGCTTCCATACCGAATATTTTTCACAGATGTCTATTTTTGGATGATCTAGCTACTATTGAAAGTGTGACGTGAGAAGTTGACTTATTTCAGAGGTGTGAAATAGCGGGGATTACTTCTCCCCTCCGCATGCTGGCTTCAAAGTTTATTTATTGTGTATTTTGACTCAAGTTTTCAAGGAGTGCTGTATTCAGTTCCATGACAATGAAGGGAAAAATTGTGACCCACGCAAAGCTGCAATACTACAGGCACAACTATTGTCTAGTGTGCATGACGGGACTGCTGGGGTGCCGATGGCATCGCTACCAGCAGTCTACCAGAGACAGCAGGAAGGTGAGACTTTGTTTTCAAAATCGTGTTTCTCGATATTATATGGAACCCTCTTTCTGTTTTTACCTTGTTGATGGTTTTCTTCAGGTTTGGGATTTTTTTGTTTTTAATGCTGAGCCGTAAATCCTATTTATTTGTAATCTCATTTAAGCAAAGGCGGAAAGATCAAACAAGTTCAAAAGTTTTAATATCTAGGATATGATTATATCTGATGCGAAATTTTCAACAGAAATAATCTAAGAATTGCAATGATGATAGGTAGTTTTAATAAAATGAGCCCCATTCTGAAAACTATAAATATCTCTATGATTAAAAGAAGAAAATGTCTTAAAGGCTGTTTGTGGTCAGCCTTTCTATATATATGGCTATGAGTGATGGAAAATCACGAAAGACAGAAAAATAAGATACAAGCATCAGAAATGTGCTTGGAATAAAAAGAAATCAAATGTGAGGTAGATCTAGTAGGCCCCAACTTATAGAAGCCCATATGCGCTGGTCACTGATTTAAAAAATCAGAGAGAGACAAAATACAGTTTCTAGGACACTTGAATGAACTTATGGGCCTAGGACATCTGGCTGTCAAAGATCAAATTGAAGGAAAATGAAGCAGGGGAAGACCCAGAGCTACTTACTTGGAAAGTATAAAGACTAGACAGACGGGTGACAGGAAAAGATCATGTTAATAAATATGACTTCTTCGAGAGCATCCAAGCAAAGGAATTAATTGCGAACCATGATCTCCAATGTCTGTCGCAGTCGCAGGTCTGACTCTTGATGATGATGATAATGATGTTTGTTGAACTGCTTCTTCCTTGTGATCTGTCTCCTTCCGTCTGTGTTGAATATTGTTTAGTTAGGAATTAATTGTTTTGAGTAAGTGGTCTGTGGGTGCTCTGGGTCAGTCCTACTTATTTCTCCTCCATTTTGCCCTGAAGTTTTGTTGCAAAATGGAAGTTATCATGCTGTCTCTTTGTGAGATGTAAGTCAGTATTGACGACTCCTTGTGGACCTGTGAAATTTTATCTTTATCTCCTTTTTGTTTAATTAGTTTGTTTGCAAAATAAAGAATAGATCTTTTAGTATGTAAAACATCTTAGATTATTTTAAAAAATTAGAATATTTGAGTATTCTGTGTGCATAGAATTATCTCAAGACATTTTATTTGTCTTCTTTTCTTTGCACCTTACTGTCTTGAACATTTTTCATCAGTATAAGTGTCATCTTACCTTGGATATTTTCAAGTTAAAGGTATCAGAGCTATGTTTAACTCTTTTGCATTTTTCTCTCCCTGGCCAACTTTAGCTGTCTTATTTTATGCAGTTCTCAAATGCACTGTTTATATATATGATTTAAAGGCTAGTAACATATCAATATATGGTAAATAGTTCCACTTATTTCCCTTACCTTTTGTTTAGTGTGGATCAAATGGCTGTTTGATGTTTACCACAGCATTGTTGATAAACTGTTATCTTTGGTCTAAATCTGTAAGATTTACTGTAATCGACATTATATCTCTTTAGGATGCAGACTCTTGAATTCACTTAATTAATTAGTAATGTTTTCCTTTCATCAGCTGTTTTTAGTTGGTGGTTGGCGGGTTCTCTGGTGTGGTTTGCTTCTTCTTTCCTATCAAGCATCTATCGTCTTTATCTCCCCTCCTTCTTTTTTTGTGTTTGTTACTCTCTTGTTACACCTCTAGTCTTCGGCACTTATATGACCTTATTGGGTTGCAAGTGCCGTAAAACACTTACTACTAAATCTAAAAAACTAAATCATTTATTATTTTTTTAATGTATTTTTCAGAGAGATCTTGCCAGTTTCGCTGTTCTTGTCTCCGCCTTCCTCTACACAGTATTTTTCTTTTACTTTTGGCTTGTCATCAGCAATGACAACTACTACATAACTGTGTAAGTTACGTCATGCAAATGACAGCCCAGATAAAATGTGTCACGACGTAGTGGAATCAGGCGCTCGTCAATTTTTGGGCACATATATATATGGAGTTATTGGTATCACCTTAGAGCTTGTTTATTTGTCTTTCTTTCGGTGAAAAAATATATATATTATTATCTATCATGAATAGAACTCAAGATATTTACGATTGAAGGAAGTGAGGTTGCCTGGTTTCAGTGGTGAAATTAGCGAAAAAATGGCCACCAAAATTTGGTAACTCCAATAGGTGAAGAGTCCTTGAAAACAATAAAGTGACATCATATTTAGTGCCTTTAATCAATGTTTTTCAATAAAGTCCACATGTAAATGTATGCTTTTATATTGACGAAAAAGAGATTGAGCCAAAAAAAAAAAATTCGATAAAAATGTTCAAACTGGCCGAAAAGTATCTGTTTCTCCAATTTCTGTATTTTGACGAGCGCCTGATTTCACCACGCTGCCTCACTAATAAATTTGTTTTATGTTATAATTTTTAAAATTCAAATGTAAATCAAATAGAATCTTTTGTCATGCAAACAGGCATTATACTTTACATAAAATTTGAAGGAAGTGCTTTATTTACATGCTTTGTTATTTTCACAATCGACATATCGTGCAGTTTAAGAAAGAACAATTTCATATTTCTGGTGGAATTATTATTTTGTTCCATGTTTCAACTACAACAAGTATTTCATATTTTACAAAGTATAGTTATAATTTCATTTCATGTTTCAACAGCTATTTATATTATTCCTTGTTATTCTGATAAAATTTAAGTCGATCACTATTTTATTCCTAAATTCAGCTGCAATTATTCTGTCATATTTCAAATTGGTTATTGTGTTATTTCATGTTTCAGTCGTGAATATCATTTGATATTCCAATGTAGTTATTTATTCTTTTACATGTTTCAATTGCAAGTGCTATTTCATATTTCAGTGTAGTTACCCCTCCTTTAATTCATGTTTCATCTCTGTGTTTATGATTATATCATGCGTCAACTGTGTGTGTCATTTCCAAGTGCCTAATCTCTCCCTCTCTCCCCCTCCCTCCCTCCATCCCTCCCTCTCCCTCTCCCTCTCTATCTCCCTCTCTCACTCTCCCTCCCTCTCCCTCTCCCTCTCTCTCTCCCTCCTTCCCTCCCTTCTCTCTTCTTCCCCCCTCCCTCTCTCCCCCCTCTCTCTCTCCCTCCCCCTTCTCTCCCCCCTCTCCCCCCCCCCTCCCTCCCTCCCACAGACTGATGTACCACAAACTGGGCTATTACATTCCATGGTACCCGCTGGCCCTGGGACTCTCAAGCCTTGTGTTCGCTTACCTCACAGTCATCATGGTATGTCTTCGCGGCTGGGTGGACGGGCAGGGTGGCTGCTCTTGTGTACTCGGCATCAACCTTTTTCTAATTTTCGTCGTCGCTGTTGCTCGAATCTGTCCCCCGTCGTTTTTGTTCAAGAAAAAATTCTGAAATTATATTATGCAAACTGAGCCCGAAAATGTGAAATTATGCGATTCTGTTAATTTCAACTAAGAATGATAAAGGAAAATAATCAGAAATTATGCCCAAAAAATTATCAAATTTTGCTAAATTATGCGGGGTGCATAAAACCTCGCGGACTGTCAAATTGATAATTTCCTGGTTAAAAGTAACTGTTTTTGTGTGTTAATTATAATTATAATAAATTTTAGTCATCAGCAACAAAGAGATAAATATGAACTGTTTGGGAACAACAAATTGCAACTTATCCATTTTTCTGGTTTTGAGAAAAATGAAGATTTCTAAGTTAAAACAAAATTGCTGAAAACCATTCCGTAAATAGGTTAATTTACGGATGGTTTTCAGCAATTTTGTTTTAACTTAGAGTTAAGATGATCTAAGGCTTAGCAGATATTTAGTGCTTGATGAAATCTATATTGGATTCTCATCCTTTGAATTGATGAGATCTCGACACATTCTCGACGAAATGCTACACCTCCACATGTATTATTTGTTAAACTTGTCATATTATTAAGTTTTGGAATGAGTCGACAAGAGAATTATAATGTGTCATCTTTTTGTGTAGTCCAATTAATTATGTCCTGTTTTTGTGTTTTTTATATTTTATAATTTGGGGGGTGGGGCGGGGGTGAGGATGTGCTTTCGAATTGTTCTTCGTCTTTTTGTATTCTCCAGTTAGTTATAGATGTGTTTCCAAATTGTCTGTGAATGAACTATTTTCTTTTTGTGTTTTTCAATTAACAATCATCTCTCTGTGTTTTCTGATTAATTTTGGGTTTTCGAGTTAATTAATTATCTCTTCTTTCCTGTCTAACATCTATCGTCCTTATCTCCACTCCTTCTTTTTTGTGTTTGTTACTTTCTTGTAACACCTCTAATCTTCGGCACTTATATGACCTTATTGTGTTGCAAGTGCCGTAAAGCTCTACAAGAAAGAAAAAAAAGAACTATTTTCTTTTTGTGTTTTTCAATTAACGATCATCTCTTTGTGTTTTCTAATTTATTTTGGTCTTTTTGTCGTGTATTCCCATTAAGAATCATCTTGTTGTGTTTCGAGTTAATTACTTATCGATTATTTTTTTTTGGTTGCGTGCTCAGGCGTTGTGCATGTGTCACACGTGGCATGGTCATCAGCTGTACAGTCATCCCGTGCACCTGGTCCTGGTGTCGCTGGTGCTGACCGGCTGTGTGGTGGTCAGTGTCCTCCTATCGATTTACCTGCCCCGAGAGTGGACGCTGCTCTATTTGTCCTTACAGGTAGGTGTGGGTCTGCACGTGTGTGTGTGTGATGAGGGAGGGAGTTGAGTGTGGGTGGGGTGGGTGTGAGGGGAGGGGGGGTGCGTAGGTGTGTGTGTGTGTGGGGGGGGGGGGTTATACTACATCCGTGTGACTGTGTCTGTCAAACCTGCCAAGGATTTCAATAAAATCAGAGCCCTCATATTTAGATAAAATGTTTCTGTCTATGGAAGAACTTCGATCGAATTTGCGTAACTTCCTATTTTTTCTGGTGTCGCTGGTCCTGACTGGCTGTGTGGTGGTCAGTGTCCTCCTTTCTATTTACCTGCCCTGAGAGTGGACGCTGCTCTATTTATCCTAACAAATAGGTGTGTGTTTGTGCCTGTGTGGGTGTGTGTGTGTGTGCCTGTGTGGGTGTGTGTGCGTGTGTCACACGTGGCACGGTCATCAGCTGTACAGTCATCCCGTGCACCTGGTCCTGGTGTCGCTGGTGCTGACCGGCTGTGTGGTGGTCAGTGTCCTCCTCTCGATTTACCTGCCCCGAGAGTGGACGCTGCTCTATTTGTCCTTACAGGTAGGTGTGGGTCTGCACGTGTGTGCATGATGTGGTGGGGGGGGTGGATGTGTGTGTGTGTGGGGGGGGGGGATGTTTATACTACATCTGTGTGACTGTGTCTGTCAAACTTGCCAAGGATTTCAATAAAATCAGAGCCCTCCGATGTTTTTTTGGTCTATGGAAGAACTTTGATCGGATTTGCTTAACTTCCTATTTTTTCTTGAATTCCATTCCATGGAGAGTACACTAAGCTAAAAAATTATGCATTTTCTTGATGTACTCTGTACGTCATAAGTCAACAAAGGGGTTAAAACATTCAACTTTATAACAACAAATTATTTCAACAACTGTGTTCAGCGTATTTAAGCTTTTACCACTCGAAACTAAAATGGCAAAGGTTGTATAATCTTTAAATGGGAATTTCTTCGTTTGTAGATTTCTGAGTATTATCCATCAAACCGACCATAACTGATGTTGTAATTTAGATGTCTTGAAAATTCAAAAATAAAAAAGTTGAGCATCATCTCAGCCACATCCTGGTGAGAATTTGTCCAGATTTTGTATCATGATGGGTCGTCATAGACTGGTTCACACTAAAAGACTACAGGGAAAAAAGGATAGAGTCACATTTTGGTGACTTAAGAAATCTTCAACTTTAAATGTTCGGAACTTCATATCTTAAAGAGACAACTATACAATTTTTTCGCTTCATTTTTACTTAGATACTGCTGTTTTCCTTTCGTTGAAGTGTTATTTCATGATCATTTTAGTGTCCTGAAATGGGATGTAACTCATGATACTAAATATTATTTCTCTACTGGGTTTTTTCCCCTGAAGTCACCAAATGTGTCACAACGCTGTGGAATCAGGCGTTCGTCAATTTTTGGTCATGTAAAGTTATTGGTATCGTCTGTACGGTTGTTCATTTGTGTTGCTCTGGATGAAAAAAATATCCAGTTATCTTGAATACTGCTAGAGGTATTTGCGATTCATTGAGGCAGGGCTCGCCTGGTTTCAGAGGTAAAATTAGTGGAAAATGGCCGCCAAAGTCTAGATATTTCCTAAGCTTGAGAGTCCATGCCTGAAAATGTACATTTTTTGTGCCTTTGTTCAACAATTTTCAGTAAAATCCACACAGAAATGTGTTTTTTAATGGGCCTGAAAGGTATTTTTTTCTTATCGCGAGATTGTCTTTATTTAAAGCATGTTTTTGAGAACTTTTAGTGCAAAAAAGTGTTCACTATGAAATTAATTTCTTGTAACTAGTTTTTGCCTCTAAAAAATGTCATTGGTGAGCTGTGACGTGACCCATAGGTGTATACAAAATGTGTGTGAGAAGCGGGAAATGCTGTGAACAATTCTATTTTCCGTGTGAAGGAGGTTTGTAGTATTTTATATAAATTTATGAAGAAAAGTTTTTTAATCTAGCCTCAATTGTTGTGGAAAAATAAGATTATGTTAAGACAAATTGAGACAAACAGCTGTGCAAAGTATAGGAGACATTGATTCACCCGTTTTAAAGATATTTGAGAATAAGTTGCGCCACAAATTTTTGACCATACTTTATTATGTTTGATTCCCCTGTAGCATGTGGTAAAAGGGTGCTTCTGGTAGGTCCTTATAATAATAATAATAAATAGCATTTGTATAGCGCATATCCCCACTCGAAAGCAAGCTCTATACGCTTTACTCTTCATTTCTTTCCCCTCTGTTATTTCTGTTTGTCTCTTTTTGCTTTTTCCTTACACTAAATAAGCACATAGAGCATTGCATAAGTGGATATGCGCTATATAAATGCAATCCATTATTATTATTATTATTAAATAATCATTTTTGTGTTGCTGTTATTTCCGTCGATCTTGTTTATTTTTTTCCCAGACACCAAATAATCATTATTGTGTTTGTGAATGTACTTGGTTACTTACTTGGTTGGAGAATAGGTATCATCACAGGTGGTTGTTGGTGCATTTCTCTTTTACTCATGCTCAGAAACATATAGTTCATACGTGGGTGGTTGGTGGGTGCTCTGGTGTGGTTTGCTCCTTCTTTCCTATCAAACACCTATCTTTCCTCCTTTTTTATATTTGTTTCTCTCTTATGACACGTCTAATCTTCGGCACTTATATGACCTTATAGTGTTGCAAGTGCCGTGAAACTCTTACTAGTGGGTGGTTGGCGGGTGCTGTGGTGTGGTTTGCTTCTTCTTTCCTATCAAACATCTGTCGTCTTATCTTTCCTCCTTCTTTTTTATATTTGTTACTCTCTTGTAACACATCTAATCTTCAGCACTTATATGACCTTATAGTGTTGCAAGTGCCGTGAAACTCTTTTACTAAAACTAAACAGTTCCTCCATCTGTCCTGTCTGTGTGTGTTCCAGGTGTACGGTCCTTTTCTGCAACTGACGGCAGTTCTGTTCATGACGTCAATCTTCTGGCTGCTGTGTCGACAGTGGTTCAAGCTGCGCACTTACGGTAAGACACAGCCCCTGTTTTATTTTGTTTTATTTTGTTTGGTTTTTTCGTGGGGGGGGGGGGTTGTTTTATTTTATTGCATTGTCTTTTATATTGAGTCTTTAGTAGGGCTTTCATTTTTCTTTTGGTGTCCCCGCGTCCCCTCCAACCATCAACACTAGGGGTATTTTTTTGGCGTGTTTTACGGCGCTCGCAACCGCATAAGGGCATATGAGCTCGTGGGACACACCAAACAGGTGAGGGGGTTGGGGGAGAAAGTGGGGACGAAAGCAGACGATAGAATATTGCAAGAGAGAAGGAAAGAAGGTGAAAGGAGACAATTTTAGAGTAGAAAAATGTTTCCGTCGCTACTGGGATTCGAACCTGGGTCCTTTGAATGAGAGGCGAACACCTTAACCTCTAGGCCACAGGAGCCCCCCCTCCCCCCCCCCCCCAACACTGTTTAGATCATTCAGGGGACAAGCTGCTATGACTACAGTGATAAAGCTTGTTTTTTATTTTTCTCCTCAATACAGTGTTTTCTTTGTTCTTGCCCCATTTAAGTGGATGTTCTTTTGTTCTAGGTTCCCCCCCCCCCCAAGTGATAAAGTGTATGATGTCTGTTCTTCATTCCCCCCACAATGATAAAATGTGTCTTCTTTGATTTTCTCTCCTCCCCACTGTGATAAGAATTGTATGTATGTATTATTATTATTATTATTAATATTACTGTTATTATTATTAGTATTAGTATTATTATTATCATTATTATTAATATTATTGTTATTATTATTATTATTATCATTCCACAGCGATAAAGTGTGTGTGGCTGTTGCTGTTTGTGCTGCTGATGCTAGGGCTGTACTTGTCTCCCCTTGCCGTGGACTCTCCGCTGATACGCAGCGAGACCCCGCCCAAACCCAACATTGTGGCACTGGGGGGAGCTGTGCAGGTAGGTGTCTTTTCTGCCGATGGTGTTTGAAAACAAGAGATTACTGGTGGGGGTTTTTCACCCCCCATCTACACTTTTGTTTGACTATTTAAATAATAATAATAATAAATGACATTTATATAGAGCTCAACCCCGATTAAAGTACACAGGCTCTGAGTGCTTTACAATACAGTACAACGTACAACAGTAACATAAAACGTTGTGTTCTGACTAAAACGAAAATTTCTCCAAATATTCATCTTATTAAATCATTTTAGGAGGGAAGCTGCTTTGATCCCACCTATCTGGGTTGACCAGGGCTGAGAAGGATACAACTTCTCAGCAGAAAAAATGGAATGCTTGATAGAAATCCTCCCTGCGCTCAAGAATCGAACTAATTGTTATCATTGTATTATAAAACGAATTTCTTGTCAGAGATCACTAAAGTTGTCCTTTCTTTTCTATTTCGCCCTTTTTTCTTTCTTTTTTTCTTTCCGTTCTATTCCTTTTCTTTCTTTGTTATAATTTTTTAAATTTACGTTTTGTGTATTTTGTCTTCTACAGGTGGCCCCTGAGAACACACTGATGGCCTTTCAGAAAGCCCTTGACATGGGCGTCAACAAATTGCACACCACTGTACAGATAAGGTGAGTTTTTCCATGTGTCCTAATGTCCGTGGTGTAATGGTTAAGCTAGCTCTTCGCTGTTGCATGCAGAAGATGTGAGCTTGTTTCCCGTGAGGAGCAGATATTTATCGTTGGCATTCATTACAGTCAGTCATATTCCGTGCTCGTCACCATTACATGTATGAGTTCGTTTCTGTTGAGAAGAAGTATTTTAATGAAGTGTCGTTTACTATCATTACAATCAGTCATATTCCATTCTCTTCACCATTGCATGCAAAAGATATGAGTTCGTTTCCTGTGAGGAGCAGTTGTTTTATGGAGTATAATTTGCATTCCTTACAATCAATCGTATTCCATGCATTTAGCACTGTAGCTTTCTTCTTACAAGCTGAAATGCTTTTTACAATAAATCTGATTTTTTGGGCTGAGTTTGCAAATAGCATGTCTCTAAACTTGGAGTAGTAATGCCCTCCTCTTTCTTCGTTATGTTCTGGAGGAAGGGAAGATTTTTTGCTGGACAATTTTCTTTGTGGGTAGTTGGAGTGTGTCACTGGTGGGTAGTACTTCTTTTCTTTCCTTCTGTTATTTCTGTCTGTCGGTCTTTCTTTTTCCCCCATTAAATGACCATGATTTTGTTAATGTGATTCTCTTAACTCAAACAAATAAATGAACATGCTGCTAGAGTAGAGGATCATCAGGAAATGGAAGCTTTCAGTAGCACACTTCAAATGTTCTTAGCTTCGGTTCTGTCTTCATTCTTCTGTGTCTTCACTCACACCTTAGAAAAAGCCAAGAAACACACAAACTCAACAATACTTGACGAATCTTTTTGCATTTGTTTATGGTCGACAGTGCTGACGGCGTTCCCTTTCTGTTTGGAGACGACACGTTAGAGCGCACCACAAATGCCGAGTCGTTGCTCCCGGGCAACGCTAGTCTGGACCCCATGAGGCACACATGGGTCAACCTGACCAGTTTGGATGCCGGCTCCTGGTTCCTTGAAGTAGGTTTTATCCTGTCGGTCTTTGAAAATGTTGTGGTGGGGGAGGAGGGGGGAGGGGGCGGCAATGGCACTTTCTGTCTTTACTGGTATTTACATCAGAATTATTTTTTTTTAACTTTTAAAAATCCTGTCAGTCTTTCCTGTTATTTCTTCCAGGAATGTTTTGGTGCTATTTTCCAACTTATTTTTTTTTTCAACCAATAGACTTGTTTTGGGTAAAAATATTTTTTCACAATCAATAAAGCCTGATGCAATATGTATACTAAATCCAGATATAGTGAGTCAGAAATATTTTTGGAAAATACAAGAAATGTATTTGTCTGCGAGTAATTTGTTGAAAAAATGGTACAACTGCCAAGTGTTACAAATAAATAGTTCAAGGACTCTCTGGTGTGGTCTGCTCCTGGTTTTTTTTCTGCCTGTCCGGAATGATTGGCTTATAATTCCTGTTCTTCTCCTGTAATAAAAGACCTCATATTCAATTTCTCTCCCCACCTCGTCTTCCCTCGTCTTCCTGCCCCCCCCCCCCCCCCCCCCCCCCCCCCCCCCCCTTCCTCTCCTCCTCCTCCTGTAGGCTGACCCATGGGACACGGCCGACTCCCTGAAGCAACAAGACAAAGACCTCGTCTCAAAACAAGGTCTCCTGAGCCTGGAGGATTTCTTGCAGTTTCTCTCCTCTCAGCCGCGACCATCGGACGATATGACAGTTTTCCTCCACTACCGACCTCTGGATCGGCACCACCAGGGGTTCAAGGACATAAACGTCGCTGGGCCTCACGTCACGGACAGGGGAGCGGGTTTCATTATCAACCCCGTGATCAACGCCTCAGCTTTAGATTTAAAAGTGGTGAGTGGGTCGTGGAATGTAAAAATCATAAGCGTCTTTTGAGTTTGCACCTATTCATAAGATGGTGAGTAGATGGCAAATGTACTGATATAATTGCAGCTTTTGCTTTCATTTTAATTTCTAATCTCCTTACCTATTTCCTGGCAAAGTGGCTGGCTGCTATTAGTCTTAGATTTAGAAGTGGTAAGTAGGTATTGAAATGGGAAACTGGAAAGCGAGTTTTGAGATTGCTCCCATTCATTAGAAGGTGGGTGGTTGGCAGGTGTACATATGTAATTAAGATAAGATGAGATCAGATAAGATGCATTTTTATTGTCCAGGTCCTGGCACATTAGTTTGGTGTTTCACCTTGCGCGCGCATACACACACACACACACACACACACACACACACACACACACACACACACACACACACACACACACACACACACAAACATGCACTCACACACGCAGGCTTGCAATCACATGCATGAAATAAATGAGCAGCAATATAAACAATAATAATCTTAAGCCTAGATACATACTCTCCATACTCAATATTATTCTGATGCATGCTCTAAGGTCATATGAATACTTATAACAAGATGGTTAAGATGGAAGAATTATGAAGGATGATGGTAAAAATGATCTTCTGCATCTTCTTTATTACAGTTCAGAAGCCTAGGTCTTTTACTTCTGACTGATGTTTTTATTTGAGGGAACAAGGGATGTTTGTTGTCTAGAAAGATTAAATTAATTTTTTTTTAGTGCAAACTGTCATGGACAATTCATTCAAGTAGGGGAATGCATCTACTTTTATTTTAGTCTGTACTCTCTTGATGTGTTGCTTGGCCAACTGTCTGGCTGATATTGGTTTGACATTCTGTAAGTTTCGTCTTGACTCTACTCTCATCTTTCATTCTGTTCACAGTTTGCGACGCCCGTGACGTCTGACAGACTGAAGGGCGTCCAGGGACTTTTAGAGACTCCACTGTCCAGTGCAGTCGCCAGCCTCGTGTCGCAGAGTGACGTTGCCATGTTGGAGCTAGGGGATGTTTCCATTGAACATATACGGTGAGTTTCTGGGTTTTTTAAATTGCAAATGCCTTAAACGTCTTGGTCTCACTGAGCCCTCTGGTTGTTTTTTTGTTGGTTTTTTTGGGGGGGTTTTGTTAGGTTGTTTTTTTTGGGGGGGGGGGGGTTGTTTGTTTGTTTGTTTTGTTGAGGGGGTTGTCCTTATCGAAGAACTCTGATCGACTTTGGTTTGTCATGTGGGTGGGGTAGCTCCAAAGGGGGGGGGGGGGGGGGGTTAACCTCAAAAGACATGGTACATCGTTTTGGTGAGGGTCATTCCAATCCATAAGATGTTGTTCAACACTTCAGTGGGGTAACTCGAAAAGACATAGTCCGTCATTTTAGGGAATAACCTCAAAAGATGTAGTCTGTCATTATAGGGAGTAATCTCAAAAGACATAGACCATCGCCAACAAGTTAAGTCTTTGTATCTGTGTTTCCCCAGAGAGTTGCAGAGGGCCAATGTGAGTGTGGGCGTGCAGGAGGTGAACAGTGAGTGGCTGCTCTCGCTACTGTGGTGTGTTGGGGTCGAGTACGTGGCTACGCACGACATTGGCGTGTTGCTGGCGCTGGGTTCTCCCGTCTGGAGGATGGTTAGTATGGTCTTCGTTCTCACTCTCTCTCTCACTCTCTCTCTCACTCTCTCTCTCACTCTCTCTCTCTCTCTCTCTCTCTCTCTCTCTCTCTGTCTCTCTCTCTCTCTCTCCAGCTCTCTGCCTGCTTGTCTCTCTGTCTGTCAAGTATGTAGCTACTCATATCATAGTGTTATATGAGCTGGACTCTCCTATGTGGAGAATGGCTAGTCTGGTGTGTCTTTCTGTAGCTGTGCTCTTTTGGTTTTTGCTCTCCCTGTGTCTCTCTCTGTGTCTCTCTCTGTCTCTCTCTCTCTCTCCCTCTCTCTCTCCCTCTCTCTCTCTCTCTCTCTCTCTCTCTCTCTCTCTCTCTCTCTCCCTCTCTCATTTTTGTTCTTAAAATGAAACACAAATAAACGCATACAAACAAGAGAAACATGCAAGTAGAAAGAAATAACAAGACATCTATAAGAATAGATGCCAGAACTTATATGTCAAAAATGTGAAGGGGGCTCTCGTGGCCTAGAGGTTAAGGTGTTGGCCTCTCATTCAAAGGTCCCGGGTTCGAATCCGGGTAGCGACCAAAAAAATTTCTTCTCTAAAATTGTCTCCTTTCACCTCCTTTCCTGCTCTCTAGCAATGTTCTGTTGTCTGCTTTCATTTCCACTTTCTGCCCCCATCCCCTCACCTCCTTTGCCCCCTCCTCTGGGCTCCTGACTCTTTCTGCAGCCTTTCTACTGCTACTCCTTGGCCCCCCCCTTACCGCTGTCTTTCTGCCACACCCCTGATCTTCTGGTAGGAAAGATCTACACCTAGCCTTCTCGGACAAGGGCGAAAAATCTCGGAGGGCCCGTGTGCAAGTTGCGCACGTTAAAGATCCCTTGGTGGTCTAAAATCGATAAGAGTAGGCTTCGGCCGCCACCCGGGCAAAATTCAAAATTTCCTACCAACTGAAAATATTAGGTGTGTCCCGCGCGCTCATATGACCTTATGCAGTTGCGAGCGCCGTAAAACACTTTACAAAAACAAACCAAAAAAATGTGAATGTTTATAACTTCTCTTTTTGTTTTGGTTTTGTTTCCTCCCCCCACCAGAGCAAAGGCGGGTACCTGGCCATGTGGATCTCTGTGGATCTGTTCTCCGTCATAGTTATACTGGTCATGTTTATAGTGCAGAGGTAAGTCTCTCCGCTAGCTTCTCTTATGGCTGGGGTTCGTCTCTCGGTGCTTGTTTCTTGTCTAAACACCATACTGTCACACCTGCTCCTACAACCTTTAGTCCAAGACAGTCACCCGAACAGAAGACGGACCACTACCCACACCCCCCCCCCCTCGACAATGGGTGGTCGGTCATCTTGGACAGGCTTGAATTGGTTTAAAAACTGTTGTGAATTCCAGCCATATCTTTTGAAACAAATTAGACCTTGCTTTGATATGTATGAAAACAATATTATCACAAACTCTGTGAAAATTGGGTTGTATAAAATCATAGCAGATACTCTCTGAAGTAAAAGCTTAATGCAGCAGAAAAGTTGATAAGAAGCAATGTTGATGGTTGTAGTTAATGTTGCTGCTCAAAAATTCAGGGGTTGGGGATTGAAATTTCATTTCTTGTAGTTTAGTGTTGGTTTTCTATGAGGTAAATGATGTTACACAGGAGGTGTGTCAAGTTAAGTGGGGGGGGGGGGGGGGAGCGACACTTCGAAAGTCCCGATTCAGCTAAAAACTATGGATTTTAAGTTGTAGGCATTTTTAGTTTCTTCAACCTTTCTTACAACTCTTTCATTGCATTAAAAAACCCTAAAGCCTTTTTTTTCCCCATACAGGGCATGTTTGTCACCACAATTTCCTCATAAAGTCTATCTTTTATGTTTCTTTATCACCGGTTTTCTCGAAACGTGGTTTTTCTATATACTTTTTTTAATAACTCCTCCATTTTTCATCTAATCTTCATGGAATTTTCACAGAATGAAGAAACGGTGTTATACTAAATATGTGTGTAATGAATTTTTTGATATAGATCTATGAAATATTTTTTTGTTGGTAATGTTTGAAGTGTGGATTTTCACGGATTTTTTGCAAACGTAAATACTACCTCAGGAAAAAATTCATGAAAAATGTTGTAGTTGGTTTAGGAAAAATTCATCACACAGATTTGTAGATCTATTGTTTGCCAAGATACTTGCAGAAAACAATTTATTTCCATGAAAAATAAGTGCAGTATTAATTACCTGAGACTTGTCAACCAAATCCAATTTGGCCGTCGTATCCATGGAAACAATTTTTTTTCTCAAATTTGATTGCGAATTTTAAGACTCCTCACTATGCTTGTTATATTATGTGTAAAATTTGGTAACATTTGATCCACTAATAAGTGAGATAACCATCTGCTGCTGCCGCCGCCCCCCCCCCATCTCAAGTTGAGCAGAAGTGTTTTCACAGAGACATACCCATTGTGGATGGAAGCCACTGTGGATGTGTCAGTCACGGTGTTCCTTTTCTTGAAAATTTGCCATTTTACTCCTCTGCTTTTGAGTTCTAATGAAGAGACGCTGCTCCAGAAATAAGATAAATATGTGTGACTGTATATGATGAACAGTTTTGCAACAAAACGCCACTTTTCCATTTTCACGGTTTTTTGTTCTCACTCATTTACTGAATAATCTTGAGCAAACTTGGTTTTTAGAGTAAATGTGATGTCTGCTTAGTTGATATTTGTTGTATGATGTTGGATTAAATTGATGAGATCTCCACAAATTTTGGACAAAACATGACATGTTCACATTACAATAATAAGGAAGGGAAAGAACGGGCGATTTTTCTCGACCCCAAGCAGTGGCGTAATTGGGGGATAGAACTTAATTGGTGCACAGAGGATTTGTCGTAGTTTGTCCAAAAAAAAGTCTACTGTTTTTGTCACATTTTGTTCTTAAAAAACGTTACTTTCTGCTTTTCTGTAACGGAGAAAAATAATGGTCTGTAAAAAAAAGCAAGTTAACGCCTTTCTAGATATGATAGTTTTGGCCAACTTTTGAAACTGACGTTTGTCGCGTTTTGTCATCAAACTGTTCATATGTTCGAATGCTGAAGTCATAAATGGTTACCCTGGGAGTAATTTTTATTTGCTTTTACTGTTATCCGTGGCTTATACCAATTTGTGTGTAGTGGGATTAATGCGTGTTTTAAATATACTCCACAGAGTTCAATTGTATGGAACCAACTTCAGCCCTGAATCCATTTCTCTGAACACGGGCCGGGCTCGAACCTCGTACCGCTCACGCACCATGAAGGAGAAACTTCTGCGTGAGGGAGGGATCATAGAGGCGGTGGACGACATGGAAGGCTCGAACGCAGGCGCTCAGGACGCAGACGGAGGGGTGATCAACGAACCCGTGTACTGCATGACCTCGGGCCATCAGGCTTACTCGCTCACCTCGCTGTCTGCCATCCGCGTGGAAGACGGGGGTCACAGTGGGGTCGTAGTTCAGGCCGCTAGCGCAGCCCCGCAGCCTTCCTGACACGTGTCGCTTCGTCCTTGACCCCTGCCTGCTCACCACGTGTAGGTGTGTCAGGGGGTCGTTCATTTATAGACCAGTGAATATCTACGAGGTGCATGTACTGTGATAGAGTGGGACAACAGTCGACCTTGTTTGCTCTTTCGGGAGTGTCTTGACGCTGTCAAATGCAGAATTATCCAACAAATTGCCTGGATGTTTTGGATTCATGTTGAACAACACTGTCACATTTTTTGTGTGTCAGCAAGCTCTTATTTTTTGGGTTGTGTTCTGGTTCAGTACATGCTATTGAGACTTTAAAGTTCTGTTGATGGGGCTGTCAAACATTTGCAGTTAAAAGATTTTTAAAATTGAAATTTGAACCTTTTAGGATCTCATGATCTGTCATATCATCTCGGTCACAAGAAAAATGCATAGCTCTGTTTTACCTGTCAGCAAAAAAAAAATTTATTAACTTATTTTTCTGTGGCAGTGACGATTTCTAACTTTACTGACTAAAGGATTAGATTGAATCTGATTTTTTCAGTCCTTGTTCATTTTTCTCTCTCAACAAGGATAGATAACTTTACAAAAGGAATAGATGAATTTTTATTTAGTCTTTGCTCATTTTTCTCGTGCTGCGACAGTTTATGGCTCCACAAAGGGATTAGATTGATTGTTTACTCTGATAAATCTTTTTGTAAGCAAAGTTAATGACTTTAGAAAGATATTTTTGTGGCTGATTGTTTAGGTTGCTTTTTTTAGATGGAACAGAGAGAGAGAGAGAAACCCGGGCAGTTTGTCTGATAGTTCAGCATGTTTGTTGCTACGGTTCTAGATGCTTTTGGTGGTTGGAAAGAAAATTTTGCAGAAAATGCACTGCTGAAAATATTTTGGAGAACGTGAGGTTTCTCTTTTCTTCCTTTATACTTTTTTTACAACTTCATTTTGGCTTTACTTTTTACACTCTTTCCTTCTCTTTTTTTTTTTTCTTTTTTTTTTTTTTTTTAAATTTTCTTTTTAAGGTTTGAATCAAATTGAATTTTGTACATTCTTAGTTTGTCCACCTTCAACGTTCTCCACTGCTAAGGATGTTCTAAGGTATCTGTGATTTGCAATGAGCTGACAAACATTATTCCTCAAGTATAATGCATTATTGATGTCTTTCACTTTATGTATGAAATGTTCTTGTATATAAATGCAAAGCTCTTTTTTTCTTGTGTACAGAAGAGGGACTGGTATGGGAGTTATTTACCATAACATTATTATTATAACTATATATTAGTAGCAATGCCAGTCGCTCTCTGGGCTTTGGCCTGAAAATTAGGCTGTGCTGGTGGGTAATGTTTGGATGGTTCGGGATCAGAGGTAGCGCCTTTTCTTAGTATAGTTATGGGAATGCCTGAGGACTAAAAAGACTGAAACTTGGCAACCAATCAGAAGAAAGGCCATACTTACTAGCAAAAAAACCTCCCTCAGATTTCTAGAACTTGAGAAATCGCCGTGTTTGCGTGATATTTCCTCTGCTTTTCAAAAACTAAGAAGACAAGTTTCTTTCAATGGAAATAAGACCAAGTAGTTTTTAAACAAAGATGTGTTGAAGACTTATGAAGTTTTGTAGTGTTTGAACCTGCCTCATAAGCGTGTGCCAGCTTATTGATAGCAGTTCAAGCGAATTCTCTCTGTTAAACAAATTTTCCAGCAAATATATTAGTCTTAAAGATCCAGTCATGCGAAGTCATTTAAAATTTTGATAGCGGAACTAGATTGTTCAATAAAAATTACATGAAGGTGCCAAATTTCATTCATATAACTCCTATTCATTACTGACTTATGAACAGTTTTCCCTCAAAATATATCGCAAATGGTACCACTGTTGTGACGATATTTTCCCATATATATATATATATAAAGTTCCTCCGAAATTTTTCAACAAGAGAAACATAGCTTTTTAAAATTTGTCTACGGATTTATAAAATATAAAAACCACGGTACTCAGAGTTTACTGCTCTTTCATTTAAGCTTATTTCAAAGAAATTTGAAAAAAAAAAAAATTTTCATTGTCATTGCTAATATCATATGTGAAGGGTGCTGATAGAATAAGTTACTTCTCGGTTTCAAGACCTATGGAAATAGATGCGTCACACTTATTTCTGAAGTTTTTACAATTTACAAGTATGAAATAATAAAAGGGCTTATTTTACTTAAAGAATATGGCATCAATAAAAAATCTACAATTCTGACCCTAGTGTCGATTTTTGGCCAATATCTCCATTTGTGGACTGCGAGAAGTAACTCGTTTTGTCAGCGCGCCTCCCATACGTACAAATGTGTCTATGCCAGGGTTGGTGCACTGGTGCACACCTTGCTACATGCACTTGTGTGTCTCGGATGATCACAGGAGCCATCATTGTCATGTGTGCGGCAGGTCGAATGTAACTTAAGAATGGTGTACACTGCTTTCCTTCCTTCCCCTCCCCCCCCCCCCCCCCCCCACCCCCGATTCACCACCTCCATTTTAAAAAAAAATTTGTTTGTTTAATGTTTTAAAAATTGTGCTCATGGTGCAAGGATGGAAGAGTTTTGTTTCCATGGGGTGAACCTAACGATTCTGCCCTCTGTCAGATTTTGCTTTTGTATTCACATGTATGTAAAATGTGACTTCTTCCCCACTGCAAGCGCTTCTGCTTCCCAGAAATTTATAGTTTTTCATGAAAGCTCGGACGTTTCATTTTTTTTTTTAATTCTCTGAATAATTACATGACAGTTGGTTTATGCCTGGCTATACAGATGTGATTGAATAAAATCCAGACTTTCATCAACAGATGTATGAGAAGTATTCTAAGAATTAAGTGGCAGGATGGAATAAGAAATGAAGAGCTGTGGGAAAGGACAGAACAAAAGGATATAGAAGTAGAAATAGGACTAAGAAAATGGAGATGGATGGGACATACCTCAAGAAAGCCCAGCGGAAACATCAAAAAACAGTCACTGCAGTGGAACCCACAAGGAGCACGAGGCAGGGGTAGGCCACGGGAAACATGGAGGAGATACGTGGAAAGGGACTTGAGAGAGATGAAGCTCACTTGAAACAAGCTTGGAAGGACGGCCCAGGACAGAGATAAATGGAAGGAGCCTATACCCTGCCAGGGGTGAAAATACTCGCTGTTGTGGAAATGTTGCTGTGTTTAGGGGTCGTCCCTGTGCAGTTTATTTTTAGTGCTTTGCGAAGGCTTCTGTCGCTGTTCAAGTAAAAGCAATGTCTGCCGTTTTGTATAGATCAGCATCGATAGTGCTGCAGTTAGATTCTTTGCTTTTGCACGGAGAAGACACGAGTTTGATTCCTGACAGGGGTGTATCTGTCTGTCAGCTGGGACGTTGTATCCCACTCAGTCTATGTTGGCCCTAATATGCAGGGTCAAAGTAGACTGCCTCCTAAATGATATGAATTGGGTCGATGGGGGCGTAAAACATAATACTTACCAAAAAAAAAAGTTTTTCATACTTCTCGAGGTATTTTTGTGCTATCAGAGGATCTTAAATGTTGCTGAGTAACTTTCGCTGAAGAAGATTTGAGCTCAAAGTCTTTGTGCTTGTCATGAATCTGTGTCACTTCTTTAGACATAAGAGCTCGTTTATGTTGTTGAGATCTGAATTTTTTCTTGTCCACGTTTCTTCGAAAGGGTTGGATAATGATTGTGTTTCCCGAAAATAATTGGTTGCAGAAGTGAAAATTGATAATTGTATTTGTATTTGAAAAACGATTTCATGTGTTTATTGTCGCTGATTTTGGTTCTGTTGGGAGCTGGATTTTGATTATGGAATGAAATAAGTTTTCCTTTTTTTATAATGACTTTTTTTTCTTGTGGACTTCCATATTTTGTCTTTAGTCTAAGTAAATTTATTTTTGTTCTAAGGTCATGCGCATTTTATACAAATCCCTGCCATATTTTTTAAGGTCTTTTTATCTTTCTCAGTAAGAAATTAACTGTTTGATAGATTAGGGGGTTTTTTTGTTGTTGTTTTTTTTTTTTAATGATGTGATATTTCTTTGTATAAATTGGGACTATTTCCATCTCATCCCTATTCATGATCTGTCAGCTTTGAAACGTGCCTGTATGTACTTCATTTTTTTCAAAATTTCTACCAAGAAAGATTAATAACTGAGAAGCTTCTTGTTATGTCAGTCTGATCAAACAGCCGAAATGTTCAGACATTTAATTCAGACACAGCCTCTAGCCATTGTTTATACAAGTCTGTAAAATTGTAATTCTGTCTTTGTCGGACTTTTCTGCGTACCTGGTCTCTGTGGTTGGATAAGAGTGAACCGTACACCCACCCCCTCCCCCTCCCCCCACCATGTGATTGTTGTACACTGATGTGAGTGACTGGTCAGTTCAAAGAGGAGGAAGGCGTACCCTCTTGTCTTTCTCCACTTCTGTGCTGAGATATCCAATAGTATTAATTGTTACGTTTGAAATCGGCTGTATTTATACTTCTGAAAATTCCTACCACTTTTTGACAATCGTCACACATTGTTGGGTAAATTAAATGGGAAGTGGGGTGGGGTGGGGGGGGAGAAGGAAGGGGTATTTTTTGGGAGGAGGAATTGGGCAGGAGGTTGGTATGTCCTAATTTTTTACTGTTACTTTTTTGTCTCTGTCTGTCTGTCTGTTGTACTTTTCCGCCAGTACTGACTGACGGTTATTGTGTCTCGTGGTATTTTCCCAGTAATGAGTTGCCTGGTTTTCTTCCTGCTACTGGTCGTACGTCTATGTGTGTGGCAGGTCTTAAACTGTTTCACCAAAAAATGCGTCAGATTCTAACCTTGCAGTTCCCTGCCGGCGTCTTATGTGGACCGGGTCGGCTGGTAAGCAAATACGGAAAAACAAACAAAAAAAAGAAAGTTTGATTCTTTCGGTGAGAAGGTATTTTACAGTGCGTCTGACGTGTTATGAATCTCTGTCTTTCTGCCCAGATAAAGTTTCACGGGACTGGGGTTGACCCTGACTGACTGACCAGGTGGGAGCGGTCTAGCTGCTAAATGTTGATTGGTTGTTGAGGGATGGGGGGGGGGGGTGTAAAACATGACGCTGAATCCTTGACACTGTATCTGTCTATCTCCCATCTACATGGTTACGATACTATAACATTCCCCCCTTTATCTCAAGGTTCCACAACTGTTTTTCCCCCCCTCCGTCGTTCCATATTGTACAAATTTCTCCATGCACAGCATCGTGTGTGTTATTTAACTGTCATGTGTGAATTATCTCATTTTGTAAACAGGATTTTATTTACTCGGACAAATTGCTTCGCGGCTCTTGTTGTTATATTTATACTTTTGTTTTGTTCTCGCATTTTGTCTCTTCACTTGCTTAGTAGCTTCCAGTTTTCTCCACGTAGAGTTTTTACCCAAGCTCTGTTTTCTCACATACTGACGGTTTTTTAATATTCTCTTGGCATTTGTTAATACGTTCTAGTTTTCTTTGCGTATAGTTGTTGTTTAATTTTACCTAAGTATGTCTTAATTTGTTCTAGTTTTCTCTGGGTAAAGTTTTTATGCCAGCGATGTTCTCTCACTTTCTGATGGTTTTT